ACATTTCGGTAGGGCCTTGAACAAATAAAGACTTGAAACTTTCATGAGAGTAATTTTCTGTAGATTTGTTCAATAAGATATCTGATGAGGAGTTGGGGTCGTAACCAATTCTGGTTCTTTTCCCTAGTGGTTTTGATCCATTCACTAATCGATCCATTAGATTGGATGAGTTATTGAATGAGTCAAGAACCTCACGCAGATGTTGCTCCCGTAACTCCCTTTCTGTACACTAGGCCTGTGCAACGGACGGGTTCGGACGGTTCGGGTTCGCGGAAGGCTAATCCGTTCGGACTTCGGATACCCTATACTAGCACCTAACCGTTTTTTTTACCACCTAATTCCGTCGGATATTCTTCCGAATTACCGTTCGGATATCCGACTCAACCGTCGGATAGATCGGTTATTGTTGATAAAAGTGTAATTGCAAAAATAATAAATTTATATAACAAAAAGAACTAATTTTTAAAACTTAACCACTTAAGTAGTCTAAACTACAGAACTACTTAAGTAGTAAGAGTGTTAGACACTTCACAAGTTCACAGTTACAACTTACAAATTAAAATTTACATTCATAACTCATAAGTATTTACTGATTATAGACTAAGTGACTAACTGACTAAGCAATTAAGCATACAAAAATACAAAATAACAAAACTTGAAAATTGAAAGTCCAAATGTCCAATGTCCAAACTCCAAAGTCCTAAGCCACCAAGCCTCAGCAGTCAGGAGTCAGCAACTCAGCATTCATCAAAAAGAATACCAGTAGGAAGTAGACCCTAATAATATGATAATAACCTAATAATATGATAATAACCTATTTGGCTATTCCTCTTCCTGATAAGTAAAAACACAAAACTTTTATACTGTACACTGCTCCTTAAGAAGGAGAACCTGCTTCTCGAGATGATCTTTCTCGATGGCTAGCTTAATGTTATCGATTCTAACGCACCTTAGATCATCATAGCTGATCAATAGCCAAGAGTTCTCTTCTTTTAATTTGGAGTATGTTTTTATTTATTACTTTGAAATCCATCATCATCTCAAAGATAGTTTCATTTGGATTTCCTTCGCTTTCAGAGCTGGTTTCTATTTGGGTAGATGAGGAGGTTCAAGAGTTTACCTCATCATCATTAGCCATTAGGCATAGATCATCTGTTTCTTCCTCCTAACTGAAGAGGCATAGGAGTCCCTTCTCGTCTCCTGAACTTTCACTCTCTAAACTTGAGCTTGAAGTGCTGGTTTCGGGTTGGATCTCCTTAGCTCGTTTGTTTACAACCATAGCTTTCCTTCTTCTTTCGTTTCGAGAATTGATTGATTTTTGTTTTCCACCTCTTTTGTTGGATTCAACAGCATCTTTCGGTGAGCTTGTGCTAGGTTCTGGGTCCTGATATTTGCGGACCATGAGATGAGGACAAATTGCTTTAAAATGTCCTAGCTTTCGACAATTGTAGCATAGCACTTGTGCATCCACCATTTCTTGTTTCGACGACTGAGGTGATCGTTCATATTGCCTTCGGTTGGAGGAATTTGGTGATCTTTGATGATCTTGGAAATTGTTCTTCCTCATGAACCTTTTCATCTTACGCACAAACAAGGCAAACTGTTCATCAAATAAAAATTCAGTAGGGTTAGGGTTTGACCTGTTTGGTGTTGAAGGTTGTTGACTTGCAACTAGAGCGATATTCCTCATTTCTGATTCCTCAGACTCTTTGGGCTCGTGCTCGAACTCATAGGCCTTGAGATCACTAAAGATTTTGCTCGTGTTGGTAGTCATCATGTCTCGGTGATCTCTCACTATTGTCACCTTCATCTCCCATGACTTTGGAAGTCCTCGAAGTATCTTTAGATTCTTTTCCTTCTCAGTTGGCTCCTTTCCTAGATCTGAAATCTCTCCCATAAGTTTCGTAAATCTGAATTCCATGTCGGTGATGGTTTTGTTTGGCAGCATTTTGAAGTCCTCGAACTTCTTCATGGCAACAGTGAGCTTGTTGTCCTTTTCCTGTTCGTCTCCTTCGCCTAAACTCATAAGAGTATCCCAAATATCCTTTTGTCGTCTTGCATTTTTGTACTCTTGGAAACAACGAGTCATCTAGAGATTTATAGAGGATATCTCGTGCAACGTTGTCAAGATTTGCTCTCTTCTTTTCGTCTGAAGTAAGCTGAGACTTAGGTTTCGAAATCATGACTTCAGGATCTGCTCCTTGAGCAGCTGCTTGTGCATTCACCATCATAACTACGATAGGAACGTCTTCTATGACATCCCACATTTCATCATGGATAGCCGAGAGATGAACCTGCATCCTGACTTTCCAGTCATCAAACTTAGAGAGATTAAAGGCAAGAGGCCTAGAACGGTTAGCATGATCTCTTTCCATTTTCCTTTCAAGGAAATAAGTGCAAGGATGAAAAAGCAATTTAGCTAATATAGATATTGTAAAAGGGATCTACCAGGCAGTAAAACAAAACATTTACCGTACACGGTAGCCGCTCTGATACCACTTGTTGGTCCCGGTAGGGTCGAAAGAGAGTCTAGATGAGGGGGGGTGAATAGTCTCTAATCGAATTTTCAAAGTGACTCCTTTCGGAGTGATGCACAACGGAATAAAATGTTTCGTTTTTAAGTTTTCTTTGCACAGTTTCGCTATGAACTCTTAATGTTTGGTTAATGGGATATGCAATGCACGAAAGATGAAGAGCAGTAATTAAAGAGATATGCAGATAGAGATTTTTATAGTGGTTCGGCTGTTAGCGAAGCCTACTCCACTCTTCTTTCACAACTTATGAAAGGGTTTGCACTATCACTCCTATTACAAACTACTTCAAGCTAGCTTCCTTGATCACTAAGCCGGACAGCTACTTGGTAGGTTTTTCAATTCCTCGAGTTTACTCCGCATCTATCAACTTCTCCCTTAGAGTTGAGTGTTGGAAAGAATATGTTGAGTTTCTCCAACAGGTTGAAATCTTGTCTTGTTGTCTGGATGAATCTTCACTTGAGAAAAGATGCAAGACTTCTTCAAGTTTGTGAAGTGTAGATAATGGATGAACCTCTTTGAAAACTTCACAAACACAACACGCTGGTTATGAAAAGCTTTTGAGATGAGAATGTTTGAAGAGCTTTTCTTAGGATAGCAACAGTTGAACAACCAGCACCTTCTTCAATGGTGAAGAGAGGTATTTATAGGTGAGGGAAAAATTCATCTGTTGGAGGGAGATAAAGATTTCGAACCTATTAACCAACGTGTATTAACCAGTGGGCATAGAGCATTTAATGTGCTTGTACTGTGTAGACGTTGATGTCAAAAGCATTTGGCTTTTGTCCTTTTTCTCTGACAAGATGGTACAAGTATTTTAATGCTCCTTGGCTTTTGTGAATATCATTCCTAAGACACCTTTTGTCTCGAATGATTGCCTATCTGTGAGTCATAAACAACATCCTTATTGCTTCACTTAATGAAAGTTATCTTTACAAGTCTGACTTAAACTTGTTTCCTCAGAGAGGTTCTTCAAAAAATTGACCTTATCTTTCGACCTTTCTCTTATACGAAAGGTCATTTTCGTCATATGATGTTTATCCGAGAGTTAGACCCTTCATCTTTCGTCTGCAACAATCTTTCGTCCTTCTCGTTGTCTCCATGTCTTCAAGTAGACTTATCATGCTAGCCTCAACTAAGATTCGTACACTACATAGTTTGAATCATACGTTGAGTTACAATGACCTTCGTTTGTAACGAAAGTTCTAAATACGAAATGAAAAATAGGGGTCTACAAACCTAGTGAGTTTGATATCATCAAAATCTAATTACACTTGTTCCTAACATTTGATTCCTATTTCGATTCTAATTCTCAAATTCAAACCAAACACACCTAGTTTATTCAGAACACTTAATAACTAAAAGATTAAGGCTAATAGGTAATAGGTAATTACTATAAAATAATCCCTTACAGCTTCTCTATTTTTTGTTTTACATTCTTTGGAAGGGTGATACCCCGAAAAGAACCTATCTATTGTCACTGGCAAATTATGTCGTGCACACGGTTGCAAAAATGGCATCGTTTTGATTGAAAACAATGCATTTGACTTTAAAAAAAAAATTATTTTCAATTGTTGTTAACGGCGTTATGCTGTGCTATATATCCAAAATTAATGAACTATATATCCAGAATTAATGAACTATATATCCAGAATTAGTGAACTATATATCCACACCGGTTATTGGTACTCTGTTTTGGCTTATGGTAGTTCGCTGCGTCTGTGTATTCAAAATGAATGAACTATATATTCAAAATTAATGAACTATAAATTCAGAATTAGTGAACTATATATCCAGAATTAATGAACTATATATCCATAATTAGTGAACTATGTTTCCAGAATTAGTGAACTATATATTCAGAATTAGTGAACTATATATCCACACCGGTTATTGGTACTCTGTTTTGGCTTATGGTAGTTCGCTGCGTCTGTGTATTCAAAATGAATGAACTATATATTCAAAATTAATGAACTATAAATTCAGAATTAGTGAACTATATATCCAGAATTAATGAACTATATATCCATAATTAGTGAACTATGTTTCCAGAATTAGTGAACTATATATTCAGAATTAGTGAACTATATATCCAGAATTAGTGATTTATATACCCACACCGAAAATGGTGAAAATCCCGTCGATTGGAGTTTAAAAATAAAATGAAAAAAATTGATTGGAGTTAAAAGGTACTGCTAACGACACTGTTACTCCACCATAGTGAAACGACGTCATTCGCAACCATGTGTACCATGCATGGTGCACACGGTTGCACAGCATAACGATTGATTGTCACTGGAGCCCCTTACAGCTAATTTTTGAATATGACCAAAATAACAACACTACATTTAATTTAATAATAATTAATTATCACCGCCTTCAACTTGAGTGAGTACCAACTGATTTGACCTAGCAATTGTTAACAATTTCAAAACTCCAACAACATCATTGACCACATTTTTCACCCAGTTCACTCCGAGAGGCACTGAAACTGGCCCAAAAGGAATCATCACTTGTGGGAATTGAATCCGAGTTATCTCGAAATTCTCCACCACAAAGAGAGCTTATTTTCCACTTAAGCTACCTTATTGGGTTTGTTAACCACCTTTTTATAGTTTTTTTATAGTAAAATTTTAAGAATTAATTCCAATTTTAAAATTTCAATTAATTCCACCTGAGGTCCCTTGTCTTTGGTGTCAATTCTAAATTTAGTCTCAAATTATCATTTTTGTCATTTAATATCTCAGACTATTGTTTTTTGGACACTTTTAGTCCTTCTCATGACTTTTCCTATATTTAGTAAGGCATTTTTTTCTTTTCATATTTTTTTTGTTATTTTTTGGTTTTAACCGGTTTAATTGGTTTAGGACTTTAGGTAACCTCTGATTTTTAGTAATCATATTTTTCAACGTTTTTTAGTAAAGTCATAAACCAATTATACCGGTTGAAATCAGAAAAATAACAAAAGAAAAATATAAAGAGACAAAATGCCCTTATTAAAAATAGGAAAAGTCATGAGAAGGATTAAAAGTGTCCAAAAAACAATAGTCTGGGATGTTAAATGACAAAAACGATAGTCTGGGACTAAATTTGAAATTGTCACCAAAAACAAGGGACCTCTGATAGAATTAACTCTTTTTTTATAGTAAAATTTTAAGAATTAATTTATTCCAATTTTAAAATTTTATTATTATAATTTCTAATTTTTTTAATTTCTGAATTTAAAATCAATTAGATTTAATTATCATTATTGAAGATGTCATTTTTCTTTCACTGAAAATATGTTGATAAAAGACTTGTTAGTGAGTATTTTGAAACATTATTTTTAGTGGAATTTGTCAGAAATTTTTAGCAAAAAATTGTTGGAAAGAATAGCTTCAAATGGCATAAATGGCATATTAAGTGACTATTTTGTGGTACAATTATCAGTGAGGTCCACTTCCGATTTGGGTCGAGTCAAAGTGGATTCGGGTTCTTCGTAATGAGACGAAGAGATTGATATATTGTACGCTCAAAACGGATAATGGGTGAATGAGATATTGATTCTCAAAGTAGACTCATTTGAGTTCGGAAATGAAGGGAAATAGTGGACTTTGTCCCACATTGGTTTGGAAAGAAGATTTGCCCCCCTTATATACAAGAGCTCTTTTGAAGTTTGTAGAATTGTATAGCATAGAGGCTCTCTCGCGCGGGAGGGGGGGTGCAAATCAAAATCCAACTAGAAGAGATCATCAGGCTTGAATCTTGCGTGCGCGGGCACGAATGTCGAGGCGGGCTAAGTTATGCCAAACTTCGGAATCATTTTCCAATCAATATAGTCACTTGGTTCGGCCGAAACCGAGAGCACAACTCTCGTGCAACGGTGACCACGAGATGTGCACTCTCGGGTTCCACGAGAGGTGTACTCTCGGGTTGCACCACAGCACGAGAGATGTACTCTCGTGTTTCTTGGTCCGTGTGCTCTCGTGTGAACCTGCACCCCAATGGTCAGAAACCCGAAAGTTCAGAATATTAAACTCATCTGTTACTGGAATTAACACTGTTTTAATTCCAATTTTAAAACTGAGTTTAATCCTACTTAGTGGGTGGCTGTTACAGGTGTTACACAATTGGTTCTAATACCAATTTAGTGGCCATGTTGAATGCTATCACTCCAACATCCCTATATAAAGAGAAGTAGAGCAGTAGCATTTTATACAGTAGAGAAACAAAGGAATTCCAGTAGCTTTATCCTCTCAAAACTCTACTTCTACTCTCTTCTTTAGCCAATCTGTGTTCCAGCTTTGCTTTGTTTGCCGGATTCTTTGTTTAGGTGCTTAAACAAAGAATCGTAGCATGTTTTATCCTGGGAAACCTAAGCTACAACTCTCCTAGCACTTGTGGGAGGTAGCAAATAAGGTTTTAAGGAAAAGAACTTTGTGTTCGAACTCGTGCTAACCTTTACCCAGTTTTTCCACCTCTTTTCCTTCCCAATTTTACTGTTTTCCCATACAATAATAATTTTTCTGTAGAATTATTATTTTGGGAGTTTTCAACCATATTACCCAATAATCTTAAAACCTTATTCTCGTTTCCCGTTAGTTGATATCTCTAATTTCCTAGAAGAAATGGAGAACCTTGGTGTGCCTATCGTTAATCCAAGGGAGGAGAATGTTGTTGAGAACAACAGTGGTGGGAATGACAACAATGTTGCTAATTCCCAAGCTACACCAGTGAACGTTGGTTCACAAGATGGTGGGAGCACTGAGGGATATATTCCCATGACTCGGGTACCTTCGGTACCGAGTGGTTTGGCCGAAAGACTAGAGAAGTTCACCGGTATTGGATCGAATTTCAAGAGGTGGCAACAAAAGATGTTGTTCTACCTGGAAACTCTCGGCTTGGCGAGATTCTTGACCGAGAAGGTTCCCGAACTAAGGGAACAGGATGCCCAATCCGTGATGGCAGTTGGCTATTGGAAGGATTCGGACTCCCTATGCCGAAACTACATCCTAAACGGACTATGTGATGCGTTATACGATGTATATCGCAAGATTGGCACAGCGAAAGAGTTGTGGGAAGCCTTGGATCATAAATACCGAAGTGAGGATGCCGGCGCAAAGAAATTTGTGGTTGGCCGATTCCTTGACTTCAAAATTGTTGATTCCAAGACCGTGCTAAGTCAGGTAGAAGATTTACAACTAATCTTTGACGAAATCCGTGACGAGGGCATGACGTTGAGTGAAGCCTTCCTAGTGGGATCTGTTATCTACTTGCTGCCTCCAGGGTGGAAGGACTTCAAGAACTACCTTAAGCATAAGCGAAAGGAAATGAACCTGGAGGACCTGATCTAGTGACTCAGAATTGAGGAGGGGAACAGGATGAATGATGGGAGAAATCCTGTCACTATTGGCGCTAAGGCCAATGTTGTGGAGCATGCTAAAAGCTCCAAGAAGAACAAGAAGGACAAGCAAAAGCTAGGTCCGAAGGGAGGCATTACCAAGAAGAAATTTCACGGAAAATGCTTCAATTGTGGCAAGTCTGGCCTCAAGTCCTCTAAATGCAAAGTTCCAAAGAAGAAGAACAAGAGTTCTGAAGCCAACATGGTTGAGGAAAGCAGTCAGAAGGAGGTCGAGATTAGCCTTTCGACAATGGTGGCCGAGGTGAACCTCGTGGACTCTAACCCACGAGAGTGGTTCATCGATACTGGTGCAACAAGGCATTTGTGTTGCAACCGAGAGATGTTCAATACCTTTGAGACCGTTGAGGGCGAGAAGGTTTGGATGGGAAACTCTGCTCAGTCTGCTGTGGAAGGCTGGGCAAGGTGATTCTGAAGATGACTTCCGGGAAGGAACTGACGTTGAACAACGTGTTGTATGTTCCAGAGCTGAGGAAGAATCTGGTGTCTGGCTCACTGTTGAACAAGCATGGCTTTCGCATGGTGTTCGAGTCAGACAAGGTTGTTTTGTCTAAGTTAGGAATGTTTGTAGGCAAAGGTTATGTAACTGATGGGCTTTTTAAGCTTAATGTAATGCCTATTATCATGAATAAAAGCAAAGTTAATTCTGTTTACTTGCTTGAGTCTTCCAATTTGTGGCATGGTAGACTAGGTCATGTTAATTTTAATTCTATGCGTAGATTAATTAACATGAACCATATTCCTAATTTTCAAATTAACACAAATAAAAAGTGTGAAATTTGTGTTGAGGCAAAACTAACGAAAGTACCTTTCAAATCGGTTGAAAGGGAAACTAAACCACTAGAATTAATCAATAGTGATTTGTGCGATTTTAGATCGATACAAATGAAAGGTGGTAATAAATATTTTATCACGTTTATCGATGATAGCACACGTTATTGCTATGTGTATTTGCTTAAAAGCAAAGACGAAGCCGTGGAAAAATTCATTCTTTATAAGAATGAAGTTGAAAACCAACTTAATCGTAAGATTAAGAAAGTTAGAAGCGATAGAGGTGGTGAGTACGAAGCACCTATTGGTGACTTCTGTGCGAGCGTAGGTATATTACACGAGCGTACGGCACCTTACTCACCTCAATCGAACGGTGTTGCCGAACGAAAGAATCGTACATTGAAAGATATGATGAATGCGATGCTTATAAGTTCGGGCCTACCTCAAGATGCTTGGGGTGAGGCTATTTTGACAAGCAATTACCTTTTAAATAAGGTACCTCGCAAGAAGCTCGATAAGACTCCTTATGAGCTGTGGAACGGTAGGAAACCTTCCTACCAGTACCTGAAAGTGTGGGGGTGTCTTGCCAAAGTTTTGGTGCCAACACCTAAGAAAGTAAAGATAGGTCCCAAGACGGTGGATTGTATCGTTATTGGCTATGCACATAATAGTGGTGCTTATCGGTTCTTAGTACACGAGTCCCATAATCCGGACGTACACGAGAGCACGATAATAGAATCAAAGAATGCATCTTTCTTTGAAAATGTATTTCCTTGTAGGTCCAGCGAGGGACCGAGTATGTCAAAACGAACGTTTGACGAAGCTATGGACAATGATAGTGGGGAATCCGAGAGAGAACCCGAGCTCGAGCCGGGACGCAGTAAGCGGGCGAGAGTTGGAAAATCATTTGGTCCTGATTTCCTAACCTACTTGTTGCAGTACGATTCGAATACTCTAACTTGTTTATTAGAAAATGAACCCGATTTTCTATCTTGTTTGATAGAGAACGAGCCTCGAACGTATGTAGAAGCCGTGACTTCTACAGAAGGACCAATGTGGAAAGAGGCTATTAAAAGTGAAGTGGATTCTATTTTACAGAATCACACTTGGGAACTTGTTGATCTTCCTCCGGGTAGTAAACCCTTAGGATCCAAGTGGGTCTTTAAAAGGAAGATGAAACCCGACGGTTCCATCGAGAAGTATAAGGCTAGGCTTGTAATCAAGGGTTACAGGCAACGCGAGGGCCTTGATTACTTCAACATGTATTCTCCCGTGACGAGAATAAACTCCATTCGGATGATACTTGCCATAGCCGTGTTGCGGAATCTGGAAGTTCATCAAATGGACGTTAAAACCGCTTTCCTAAATAGCAAATTAGATGAGGAAATCTATATGGAACAA